TCTGAAACCAGTGGTGGCTGCTCAGTAAGGATTTTTGGGGGCGCCCTGCGCAGAACAAATTAACTCAGGAAACGATTCAGAACGAATTGAACTTACTCTAAATCTTCTCGTTTAATTTGTACCTACCAACAGCGCAAGCTTTGATGTCGAATTTAATTTCATATGCCTGCTTAAGCGAATTATCAATACAATGAGCGTTAGCGCGATCTACCGCGCGGTTGTCTATTGCTGATGAGTGTAAGGTAACAACGAGGAACAGAAGCAGTATTGGGAGCTGGATGGGAACAGTGTGCTACTCTTAGGGTTCAGGCACTAGGGATGGCAAAAACATGGATACATTGCACCAGAAATATCAATATTTTGATTTCGATGTTTTGTTTACATGGATAATTTGTCGCAAAAAAACATTTTAAAAAAATTATAATAGGGTTTAAGCACAGGGTAGAGTGGCAGCAATCCACAGCACAGTCGATGTTTTGCGTCATCACGCTGCACATTTAGACTGTGTCATCTGGGAAAATTAGGAAGCTGATCATGTTGTATGCTATCGCTAGGCGTGTCAACATTTATCACCAAGTTATTTAAGTGTTTTTTGTCATTTAATAGCTTTTACAGCGCTATTAGAGGGATGAAGTGCTTGAGTTTATCTGGCAGTATAGTCTTTCTCATATTTTCCTTAGTTCATTGTGGTGCGCAAGCGAGTTCAGTCAGAAGAGCTTCGTTTTTAGTGAAATTTAGCTGCTAGTTCTAGCTGTCGGGTAGGTAAGACAGTTTATATTTGATAATCTCACCCTACGGAGATTCTCATGATCACCATTTCGTTCCGAAAGTTTAACTACATCATCTACCAGATAACCCCTCCCCTTCATTGAACAGGATGTTTGGATAAATGATTCTAAGCCATGGGTCCCTGGAAGTTGTTTTCATGTTATACATTATACTATTTGATTGTCTAAGTTATAACCTAATAGAATAACGTAAAGTTGGTATTTGTGAACAATAAGAAGAGTATCGTCCACATATCTAGGATATAAAACAATATGGAGGTTATTTAAGTGTTTTTATCTATTTGTTTATTACAATTTCAAATAGCATTGAAGAAGATCTACATATTATTTGAAATGCATGAAGAGTTTCGTCTGATGCACGAAGTTAAACGGTCATCATTTAAATATTATTCAAGGCCTTGTAATATCCATTTTATGAGATATAGAAGGTAACATTTCTACTATTAAAATATGCCAAAACATGAATATCTGGTGTACGTACTTTTTAAGGGTGTGAAACAAATACTGGTGAACCGAAGGTTAATACTACTGGATGGATAGCCAAATGAGTTTTCTTTTATTAAACCGTAAGTTCTGGTCATCATGTAAATTATAGGATAGATTTTAAAGTAGACACCATCAACAGTTCATGAGTTTATTATACATCCATGTTTTTTTAAAGAATAATGTTTGTTATTTTTATCATATTTTGTATGGTATATGTAGAAAATAGATTAGAAGATTAGGATGTCAAATCTAAGACTAAATATAGTGTATACTATAATAACACAAAAAACACGACTAACACTAAATCTTTATTAACATGCCAGTATTACTACTAACCCCTGCTAATCAAACTAAAAGTTATTTTATTTACTTACTGTAATTAAAAATAGATATGAAAATAGTACTTTTATTAGTTTATATTTAAAACATCAATGTTGTCATCGACATTCAAAACCATTTTGTATCGAAATATCGATGTTTTGGTAAAATTTGCCATCACTAGGCAGAGTCTGCTCCTATGAATTAAAAGTTATGAATATGGACCTTTTTATCTGATATCATAAATTATTTTCTCTGCAACACATATTTTCTTTTAATTCGTAAAACCTATTGTTATTTCTAATATCAATCCAAAAGTTGTCATACATAAGGTTTAAAATCCCGTTGGAAATCGGACGTGCTCTGCTATAGTTTTCTCTCGTTCAAGAAATACATTACATATAGTAAGTTCCGGGATTATTTTTTACGAAAGGGAAAAAGTAGTATTGAATAACTTTTTATTTAATTTTCTACCTAATCACGACTTCGTTGTATACAAATTATGCTGTGCTCGAACAGGCGCTGTAATGACTTGAAGAATTCCTCTTCTGGGATGACTTTCTGAACATTGGTTACGTTAGTTATAATCGCCACAATATCTTCAAATCGCTCTCCCTTTGTCTCGAATTTTTAATTTGGGAAATAGGAAAAAGTCTGCTGAAGCTAGATGTGGCGAATACGATGGGTGACTATTGGTGGTGACTGACATTTGGCCTCAAAATTGTGTGACGAGTATCGAGGACTGGACTGGGACATTATCGTGCAAAAGAAATCCGTCCCCTCTGCGGTACAATTCTCGTCTCACGCGTCGAATTCTCCTCAAAACTCTATCAAAGACACATTTGCAGAATGCTATGATTCCTGCGTTCACTTTTTTCAACCGTAATTCGCTGATTACAAGACAATTCGACGCGCACACGTTCGGAATTCTCGTCGGTCGTCGAGATTGAATGGCGCCACACTCTTGCGTCGTCTTCCAGCAACTGTCGACCGATCAAATTGCTTTCTAAACGAAATCCCGAAGTATTTTAAATGTAAATACAATTATAGTTCATTTCATATTAATCTTTTACTAATAATATTTTTCAATGAGTAGACAGTGTGACCCTTGCATATTTCACGATACGGCTCTGCTCTAGTTGTGACCCTGGGGATATCAATACGAACATCACAAATCAATGAGTAAACGTGAATAAGTATCACGCAATTCGTCCATGTTATGTAATTGGTCGTCTTTGGAGAGAATATGAAACTTTATAGTTCATTTTCTTGATATAATGTGTTTTACCAGTGTTCTATAATTCTAAAGATCAAGGACGTTTAATTATTTGAATGGAAATAAAAATAGTTTTGAAAATGTTGCGATATAGAAAAAACATTTTTATATGCACTGCCACCAATCAAAATTGATTTACATTACTCATATTTTACTTTATACATAATAATTCCAAATCACCATAAATTATTCCTTTATCATTAAATCAGTAATAAATTTGTCAAAAAATTATTCTCAAAAACGTGTTCTTTAAAAATTTTAAGAATTGTTACGATGTAACAGTGCATTTTACCATACGCTGGAGCCACCATATTACAACAAAGGTGAATTTAAGACATGCACAGTCTCAAAAATATCCAGAACGATATTATAACAATTAGAGCAACACATTTCAACGAACTTTCTCTTTGACATTAGGTCCCCCTTCAGAGTGTCTTGAAAACCCACAGAAGTAATTGTAATACATTATTTTTATATAAAAAGCAGTTTTTTTCAAGGAAAATTGGAGTGAACATTGAGTGAACAAGCACATTTTACTCGACAAAGCAATCTGAAATGGCAAAATGAGTTTGCAATGACAGATTTGTGGTTTTTGCTCTACATTTACCATCCACAATATTGCTAGTGTGCGAGAATATTCAAAATTAAAAGAAAAATAGTGTTAATAATTTTCACCAATACTGAACTTTTTTATTGTCATGCTACGTAAATATTCCATTAAGGATTTTTTAATTGTTCGTTCCGACATTTATTATTTATATATGAAATTTAGCTTATTATCATACATGTCCAGGCAAAATATTCAATTTTTCGATACAAATAGACGTTTTATATTCTACAAATGTCGTATGTTGACATTTATGCAGTCTCATCAAGTGTTTTATGAAAAAACCACATGCTTTTATCATATTTTCTGATACAATTAACTTCCCGTAAACTTATTCCTTTCTCAGCAGTTAGATATTTTGATTGAATGCGTCATAACAATATGAAGCCTCGCCGGCAAAACCGCCCACGCCAAAGTCGGGAACGATTTAAAAAAAATATAAAAAAATATATTTCTGAAATAATTTTAATGGTTCGTATTTGATCACGAACGTGACGTAAAAAATTAGGGGTGGGGGAAATTTCACACTATTACTTTTTTGAAACTTCATTACGAAATGGTGTGTGGTGGCACGTAAATCGTATTTTTGTCTAAGTGATTTTGTTTTGGGTAGCTAACCATAGGTACGTCGCTGTCATACAGTTAAATTTCTCACGTTCTTCAGATTCTTTGCGATTTGTGTTTTTGAGGTGCGCGTGTCTGTGCAACGATGGTGAGAATAAATTTGGCGTGTTTTACGCGATGCGCCAAAGGGGGTGTTTGGCTGACATTCAATGGGCGTAAAACGTGGTTTGATTGCTGCAGGATTTAATTGTGTTTTGTGTAAGTGTGCTATGAGGTTGGCCAAGCGAAAGTTGTGTGATGGTTTCGAGTGGAAGTGTAGCAAGAAAGGGCCACTCATGTGCGGAAGTGGGGAAGGGCCATATACTCTTTGGAAGGGGCCATGATTTGTGGGAAGCAAGTTGAGTATAATTCTGGTATTAGTAATGTCCTGTCTTTGGGTTATAAAATCATCAGTCAAATTGCCATAAAAATCGCCTATCGGTAAGTTCCATTCATTTCTGTAAGAGCGCTTAGCGTAATTTGAGGGAGGGGTAGAGGATACCATCCTCCCCCTCCTCCCCCCTTCCCACCTCGCCCCCACGCTGTGTACCGTGTACCCTACTTTAACCCATTTTTATATAACAGTGAGTAAAATATGTAAAGACTTAACTGTCCACACGTTAAGTTTTTTAAGAGTAAACTTTTAATTTTCAACCGAATTGGAACACGAGAACATGAAATGGTTGAACCATGTAGTGCAGTGTTTAGTTAATATTTTTCTACATTAAGAGATTCTCTTCGCTTGCTTATGCTAGCGTATTGCTTTAAAACGTAAACGAATGGGGAAAATCTGCAATTTACATTATAGTGCATACATAATAAAATATTGATTAATAAATACGTTTAAAAGACACCTGTTGATCCAAACAACACAACTACGTTGACTCACACAATTTTTCAAAAATAAAATGAATCGCCTTACCTAGGAAGTTCTTCCTTTTACGATGTAACTCCTTCAAAATTCATAGACGACTTGATCCTTGTAGCGACTTGCATCTGCAGGCAAATCCGTTGTTAGTTCACATTAACAAAACTCACATTAAAATATAACATTGGAAACTTGATCCACGGACGTCATATACGAAGATCACCAAGAGATTTATCACAGATTCCTCACTTCACCAGCCCCAACTTTAGTAACAATTTCCTAATTTTATTTAATACAGTATCTCTCCAGCAATTAAACACTGAAGACTTAAGGCCTACGACGAAAGAGAGAACCAATTGAAATAAAATTGTTACGTCATTTGCGCGAACTCAGCTACTAGAAACAGATTTCTAACTTCGAAATGCGAAGCTGGCACTTCGTACACACGTGAGCGAGTTCCAGCGCGAACCGAGTGGCGGCGAGACCCTCGCGATGCAGCCGCGCCGAGCGACTGCCAGCCGCCGAGGAGAGGAGGGCACAACGAGCGATTCGCCCCCGTTCTCCCCTCCTGATTGGTAGCCCATCCACCGCGTCACACCTCGCCTGCCGACTCGACTCCCTGCGCCGCGCCCCCTGCGGACTCGCCGCTCGAAGGCACGACCTCTCGCTTGCCTTTCGCACATTAACCGCACGCCACTGACCCTCAGAATAGGTCAAAGGGATCCGAATAGTTATTTATGCACCAAGGGCGACACTAGCGTCGTCAAAATGACCGAGGGCTTTACGTCGTCTGATTCACTAGAACCCATTAACGTTTATGCTGCATACAATATTTTAGTTTTTACCTAATTGAATGATTCGTATTAACTTATTTACAAATTAATTAGATGTTGACTCGGTTTGTCTTTTTATACTTCCCTCTCACAATTCGCTCTCATATTTCCCATTGTAAAACGTTTAGCAGCATTTCACTATTTTCATATTTCACTCGTAACCACGATTTTATCGTTCGTAGTAAATTATGGAAAGCAAAAGTAAGCAAGAACGTATCAGTAAAAAAAAGTAAAGGATATTCTGTTAACTGCATTCTCGTCTACCTAGAATGACCCTCGATAAGCAAAGCAGAAGCTTCTATGTGAAATACAAGCAAATTCAAACACGCCAATGTGAAGCATGAACTGCATGTCTGTTTCAGTAGAAAATTGTGGCAAAGGTAATGAAGAATATTATTTACAATTAACACTTCAGTCACAATATTATTATGAGTAAGGATTTAAAAGAGCACTACCAACCTTTCTCCAACACTAGGAGAAAGCAAAAATCTTATTTCCGCTTTCTCTTCTACCATGACAATTTTGCTTGTATCTTTTAGAGGAAAAATTATCAACTTTAAGGAAAAGTCGTATTCAAACAGAGTGTAATGTTGTTCACGACAAGTCTTTCTTCAGTATTGGATATCTCTTTAAATTGGACACATTTTTAACAAATGACGCTTATTACTTGGATTTCAAAATATTACGTGTACGGAAGATTGCGGTTACAAAATATTGTCCATTCATTGCCTATTTAAAATGATTGTTCATGTTTAAAATAATAAAAGTAGTCAGAATTTTTCAGGTGATAAACAAACATAAAAAGTCCTTCATAAAGTCCTTCTATAATATATTAAGTAAATAATGAATTTAGAATCCTTATTAAAAATTTTAAAAGAACATTTATATTCATCATTAAATAAAAATTTCTATTCCGATATTTTATTTCCCGGCAAAATAAATCTCTCTCAATTTCATCAAAAATTACTCGCATTTCAACAAATTGTATCCCCGTTGAAGCTAATATCTCCCCGACCGCATTATTACGTGGCCTGTCTCGCTCCTTGACTTCCTCTCGGGCAGTTGACTCCGCTGCGGCGCGCGGCACCTGCTTCAAATTACAGCACGCAAGGCACAACAACCCGACACGATCAGGTTTCTAGCAACGAGGCCAGCGGAGGGGCAGCGAAATCGGTGATGACAGGTGGAGTAAATGCGACTATTATTGCAAAAGCCAAGAAATTCATCGCAGGAGGAAGCGACTAGGTGGTAGTTGGTAACATGAGTCAGTGATAGAATGTTTAGGGAGAGATGCGGAAATGAAGGGTTCAGTTGCGACTTGAATTAATGTGGAGATGATACGAGTTGGAGAACTGAAAACGACCCAACAAGAAAGAGAACAAAACAAGAAAGTTAGGACGCTGCAGTGGAACTGTAGTTGTAATTAGAAAAGTCGGAATGGCGATTGTGGAGATGGTGAAAAGTCGAGAGAGGTCTCGTGTGTCAGGGCGGCGCGGCCTGTTATAGTTGAAGGAAGCGAACAAAAATGAAGGAGAGATGAAGGAGTGTGACGTCGACAAAATTAACAATTTGACGAGAAAAGTATTAATAGTAGAGGAAAGATATGTTAGGTAGTTATTAAGAACACTCGATCACCTTTTGGGGGGCAGGATAACGTCAAAAAAGACTTTTCTTTGCTTATCCTAGCGGTAGTGTCGCGCAATTGCAGTATATGCGAGGTCTCCCCGCCGGGCGTGTCCTGTTATGGGACTGACGCGACCTACACCACGCGCCCCAGTCCGGATTCGGTGAGATGATGGGGTAATGGAGATGACGGCGTCGACGATGGAATTGGGAAGCAGGGGCGGATCCAGCCAATGATTTTTGAGGGGGGGTCAAAGTACATTTTTGTTAAATAATAAACATATTTGTTTTTATAATGTATATTATTGATGTACTATAGATATGATACTATGCGTTATTATTGTTTAAATAATTACAGAATTCGAATATAAATATTTAAATCAATTTTGCCAAATAAAGGAAGGTAAACAAACCCTCGAGGCCTTTTGGGAGGGGCCATGGCCCCCATGCCTCCCCCGAATCCGCTAGTGATGGGAAGAAAGGTCGCGCGCGGTCCTTGTTGGACCCCGCGGACCGCTGTTCAGTGTACTGATCCTGAATTCGCTTGGGCACACAACTAAAACTATGGGATTCACCGATCAGCACAGTCCGCTACGATCTTTTTTCCGGCGAGCGCCAATGAGAAAAGTAAAAACGGCGCAATCTTTCCGATCTCATGCACCTAAAAGATTTCGTTCACCTTGCTGGCATCGAACCCATACTTCTTTACTTCTGGAACGCTCGCCGCTACCAGTGAAAAACCAAAGAATGTGCGTATTCAACTAGCTTGTTGAACATTCATTTTTTGTGTTCAAGTCAAATGATGTGTTGAACGCAATTATTAATCACTAATTACAAATGAAACTAAATTTCCTCATTATGCATGTTTAGAGTAGTGTTATTCGCGGTATAATATATTTCAGATATAACTAAATACTACGTTGTAGCACATTGCGCTACAGAACGTAACAGTGCAAGTCCGGCGTAACATAGTCTAGTTGATCCAACAAAGGATATAGAAGGCGGGATAGTTCGGAGGAGTCTAGTACACGAGTCAAATATGTGTGCCGAGAGAGATTCGGACGGTAGCCTTGGAGAGTGCTGGATATCGCGAGAGACGAAATATGTGATTGATGGTGAAAAAGGAATTGACTGGAGCCATTGGCAATATATCGTTCTTCCAAAAGGACGCCCGAATGCTGGAGACAGTAAAACATTGCTATGTATGGATTGTTGTAAAATAATGTGAGGAATTTGAGAAAATTTTATTAAATCGTGTATCTAAAGTAGTGGTTATTACATTCTATTTGGAATAATGTACTGGAACAGCTATCTAGCACATTGTTTTGTGTATTGTATCCATTGTTTTGTGTTTTTGATGTAAGCGGTGTCAACTGGTAGTTAATATTTTATTGTTATGTTTTTTTAACAAGACATGTTAGTATTTTGATATGTTCCATGTACATAAATATTAATGTTGAGGGATGTTAGTGAGGTGCAGCTGAAAGTATTTTGATATCTTTGGAACGGTAAAATATTTCGAAATTGTTCGTAAAAGCATAATTTGTTAGCATAAACTGCATATAAGTTTAATGATAGGTGCATAAGCTGTTAGTATTTTTGATAAGTTTCCTGTGTGTAAATATTATTTCTGGGCAAGGTGATTTATGTGCAGTTGTAAAGATTTTGTTACTACATTGCACATTGGATGGTTGGAATTTCAATTCACGTTGGAAAGGCCAAACATTTGTAACTATATAATTTTGATGGGTTAATGTGGCATTGAATGCAAATATTCACTAGTTGATTAAATTTTTAGTTATGACATACTATATTATCCTTTGTTCATGCGAGTCAACACGAGGAGACCTCTGCCCACAATCCTTCCCTTCTCGCTAGAAGAAAGACAAAATAATTGCATCTTTAGTAACTGCCTGACGTGCGGATTGTCGTGCCAATGTGAACAATACGGACAGGTGCGTCACAATGTAAAGGCTGATTTTCAAGTCTTCGCTCCTTCCGGTACTTTTAATTGTGAAATGTCCTCATACCAATTTCAAATTTTAAATGCCTAGAGATCAAACATGTTCTAAAATCAGTTCAATTGGAAGAACATTTTGCTATAAGCGTAGCTGTCGGGGGTGACAAAGTAGCGTGGAAGAAAATCAAGAAATATGCGTTGATTTAGAGGTTAGGGTGGTTGAGGAAAAGGTGACTCCAGATTGGGCGAAGATGATGGTGCAAGCGGAAGCCGCAATGGCGCCAGGAAGTGTGGGAGGGAGCGAGGGAGGTCTCGCTGACAAGTGAAGCCGACGTGCCGAAAGCCGATAGAATGGAGGCCGCTCCAAACGCCTTGCGGTCACGCAACGCTACCGTCACGGGGCTAGTCGTTCTCCGATGAACACAAAATACGATCTCTCTGTAGCCATTGGGGCAAATGGCGTAAGAACAGAGGTAAATTGGAAAGAATGAACCGGTGTAATGATTTTGAACCCGACAGTAAAAATCTCTCTGCCCTCCTTTAAAAAAGGAAATCTCAATCCAGTTTATAAATGATATATCGCTGTTTTGTGTTGCTGCTCGTTAGGAAACTTTTATTTTTCATTTCGAGTTAAATGTCTTAAATACGTTAGGCTGTATTATTGGAGAAATGTATAATGCCTTTCTAATTAAGGTAAATTTAAGTTACGAGTAGTTTCTTATTTAATCTTCTTGGGATATTTGAGATATTTTTCTTTACGTTCTTTGATATTGAATGAGCTCTCATTATTAAAGAATTAAGTCTAAATGGAATAAGAAGTGGTTAATAATATCATACGATATTGATGTGACTTGGAAAGTCACGGCTAGTGGGTTTCTTCGTACGAAGTGTGTTCATGAACATCCGTTTTTATGTATCCCTAAAAGCACAGAAATGTAACGTGCCCAATATTTATTCGATGTTGAAATCATTGGCAATGTCTTTCTCACTAATTTCAAACATTGATTTCTGAAGAGAGTATCATTATACAAGAAATCGAAAGTACATTTACTAATAATAATGCGATGATGTTTTTCTTGTAATGCAATCCTTCTGCACATGTCTCAAATAAAAAGGGGGAAGCTTTCATATAATTTTAATGAAGCTTTGTTGACACCATTTTTCTTGCTGA